CTCAGAGATTTTGTAGGTTCAATAAAGCAAATGTCACAATAAAAATAGTCACACAAATTTTTTGGTTTCCTGGTGCATATGAAAGTTATGTTTATACTATATTGTAGTCTATTAAGTGTCCAACACCATTATGAAAAAGTTTGAAATATTGTGAGAATTACCAAAATTTGACACAGAGACATGAAGTAAGCACCTGCTGTTGGAAAATGGTGCCAATGGACTGGCTTGACACAGGGTTCCCATAAACTTTCAATTTGTTAAAAACATAATATCAGCAAAGTACAATAAAATAAGGTATGCTTGTAAGCTGGAACTCACATCATTTTTGCCCCATATCTCAGAGATCACTGTCCTTTATTTCATGATGTTAAGTATTAAAAAACATTGTTGTGTATATTTTTGTTAGTTTATTTTTTTCCCCCAAGGAATGCTCATGTCCTGCTCTTGGTAATAAAAACAAGTCAAATTACCAGTAGCCAGAATGCCTGGGATCACCATCTTCTCATTCCAAGCATCAGGCTGAAGGGTCATCTCTCTTAGCAAGTGCCCTCCTAACCCCATGGTTATGTGTAGTGGCTGGACCCTGAGCCAGTGTGCCCAGAGCAGAAAATATATGGGGCTGCTATGTACAAAGAGGGGAGATTTTGTCTAATTCACCTGAGTTCCTCCAATATGCCCTTCCCCTCTCTAAATGGCTATCTTCTCTCATCTGGCCTGCAGGCCTTGGGTGTCAAACTTACAGAATGGCTACTGCCTTCACACAAAGAATATACAGGGTCTTCAGCTGATGCAATTGAGGCCTTTGCCTCAACATCACTGGGCTGTGAGTTTGAACAGGAGCAGATCAGACACTCTACTTATGACCTACGAGTCCAAATCAAGGTTACAAAATCTTAGAGGGGTATTCATGGGTGAAAAGATCCTGATCAAATCTTCCTTTATAGATACAAATAGTACATCTAAAACTTTAAGTTTTTTTTTCTGTTTGGAGTTGTGTGTGTGTGTGTGTGTGTGCATGTAAGCTTGAAACAAAGGGACAATGATCTATCCTTCTGCCAATTTCAGAGGGCTGGAGCTCTTCTGGTTCCTTTAAAATTTTCTATTAGCTCTTACAACTAACTCAAATACTAAAGACTAGCATGTAAGTACTTCTCCAAACAAGTACCTTAAGCAGCAGGATCCCCATTCTCTTTGATTGACATAGATGTTCACTTTAGCCTGGGTTCCTCTGCTTCATTTTCATTCTCTAAGGCCCACAGGGGGATGTCTAGGTTCTTCATTCTAAGCCCCACATTGAGTATATGTCACTGTAAGTGAGTAGCCCCTCCAGACAAGCCTGTTGAAACCCCTCTTTGGGAGGCCCTGGCAGCTAGTCCTGGCAAAGCAACTACAGCTGTGATTTCTCTGGCCCAAATCAGGACACCCAGTCACAGGACAGAGTCAGTGTCATAAGAAATTTATCAAGGCCCATAGGCAAGCTCACCCATGCCTTCATTCTCTTCCCACTTCTACAAATGCTCCCTTCCCTATTTCTCCTCTTCAATCTCAGCCAGTCCCTCCTTCCCATAGCTAGCCTGGTCTCCTTGCTTTCACACTGACACCTCTGTAACACAGGCAGGGGCTTGAGAGGCAATACAGAATAAAGGAATGTTTCCCACACTTTGAGCTCTGGTGGCATAGTGCTTAAAGCATTTGACTGCTAACCAGAAGGCTGGTGGTTCAAACCCATCAGCCACTCCTCAGAAGGAAAGTTGGGCAATCTACTTCCATAGAGATACCACCTTGGAAACCCAAGGAGAGGTAGCTATGAGTCATATCCGACTCGATGGCAGTGAGTTTGGTTTTTTGGTTTTTCCATGCTTTGCTGCACATCAGAATCACCTGGGGAGCTTTAAAAAACCCTAATGCCCACTTCATGTCCCATATAAAGTTAATTCAGAATGTCTGGGAGTGGGAGGCAGACATCAGTATTTTTATTGGCTGGGTTTTGAATCCCAGGTTTACTAGTTACTAGCTGTGTGGCCTCAGGCAAATTACTAAACCTTAAATGGAGATGATAGTAGGATCTATATAATAAGATTGGTGTAATCCCATCCGATCTGCAGCCTATACAACTATGAGACCAGAAGAACTAGATGGTGCCTGGCTACCACTGTCATCCACTTGAAGGGGATCTATGTAGAAGATCCTTGATACAGAGGGAGAACAATGTGGAACAAAACTCAAAATCATTTGGAGGGAATAAAAGGGGGAATCAGGTTTGCTGGTCCAATAGAGCCTGATGGAACCACTGAGACTATGGCCCCTAGCTGCCCTTCAGGTCTGGAATTGAACCCACACCTGTGGTTTCCAGCCAAACAAAAGACAGGCATATGAGTTGAACATTTACCTCAAGTAGATATACTCTTTGGAGAGAACAATCATGGGAGAAAGAAGGGCTGCTTATGCACAGGGAGACAGCTCAGGGGTCAGGAGTGTATGGAGGGATGGACACTGGGAGAGGTAACTATGGGGAGGAAGTAGGAGGGGAGCTGTTGCATTGCGGTAAACTGTGGTCAATGACATGAGACAAAGTATATGTGAACTGCTGTAAGGTAAGTGAATTTGTTCTGTAAATCTTTACCCAAATCACAATTTAAAAAAAAAAAAAAAGATTGGTATAATGATGGAAACGAGTTAATACTTGAAAAGAGCCTAAAACAGTGTTTCACATGTAATGTATGTGCTATAAGCACTGTTGTTATTGTTGTGTCAAGTCTATTTAAACTCACAGAGACCCTATATGACAGGATAGAACTACCCTATATGGTTCCCTACGCTATAATCTTCAAGGAAGCAGATCACCAGGTCTTTTCTCCTGTGGAGCTGCTCGTGGGTTTGGTTAGCAGCCAAGTGCTTAACCACCATACCACAAGGGCTCCTTGCTATAAGCATTAACTATTATTATTACCAGGTATGCCCTAAATGAAACCTAGTACCTTGAGAGGAAAATCCTTTACTAACTCAAGAATTCACACATGGGATCAGTATACTAACTCTCCCAAAGGTGAAGGGGAAAAGAGTAAGCTGACATTTATCAAGTATCTGCTTGGTACAAAGCAAGTATTATTTATTCTTTACAATAATCCTCAAGATGAATATTATTATAATCATTTTACAGAAGAATAAACTAAGTCTGAAAGAGATTAACTCAGGTTAATCAGTGATGGAGATGGGATTTACAACCAGGTCCTCACTTCAAAGGAGCTCTGGTAGTGTAGTGCCTAAGGCACTTGACTGCTAACCAGAAGGCTGGCGGTTCAAACCCACCAGCCACTCCTGGGAAGGAAGATAGGGCAATCTACTTCCATAGTGATACCACCTCAGAAAACCAAGAAGGGGTCACTATGAGTTGGTTCCTACTGGGCACATAACAACAACCTCACTTCAAACTCATGCCCTTTGTTATGGCAATGATTTAGTTAAAAAGAAAAAGAAAACCTTCTTGTAGCCTCAGTGTCATCTCAGGGAGGGAGGTTGGAAGCACATCAAATGCCAGGAAAGTGGTTTCATTTTTCAAGATAGTATGAAAAAAAAAAGAAAGAAAGAAAAACTCACTGCCATAGTGTCAGTTCGGACTCATAACGACCCTATAGGACAGAGTAGAACTGCCCCATAGGGTTTCCAAGGCTATAAATCTTTGCAGACAGCCTCACCTTTCTCCTACAAAGCAGTTGGTGGATTTGAACCACCAATCTTGTGGCTAGCAGCTGAATGTTTTAACCACTGAACCACTAGAGCTCCTTCAGGATAGGATGTTGTTGTTGTTGTTAGGTACCGTCAAGTCAGCTCCAACTCATAGCAACCCTATGTACAACAGAAGGAAACAATGCCTGGTTGTGTGCCATCATTACAATCCTTGCTATACCTGAGCCCAATGTGGCAGCCTGCGTGTCAATCCATCTTGTCAAGAGTCCTCCTCTTTTTTGCTGACCCTCCACTTTACCAAGCATGATATCCTTCTCCAGGGAATGGTCCCTTCTGACAATATGACCAAAGTAGGTGAGACTTATTCATCGCAAAATTGGTCTTGCAAAATTCTATCATGTGATCTCCACCAAGGCCATATTCTCAGGATAGGATAGATGCTAATTAATAGCTGGGGAAGTACAGGTAAGATGAATATAGCAGGAAAGCCTCTAGTCTGCATTTTGAGTTCAAAACCAGATTCCACATTTCCTAACTGTGTGACCATGGACAAATTACTTAATTCTTCTTTGTTTAGTTTTCTCATCTGTCAAAAAGGGATAACAGCTTCTCCTTGAATATGTGAGGATTAAATTAGTTAAATACAAGCCTAGCCCCTAGTGCAGCATCTGATACATAAATGCTCACTAATTAGTCATCATCACTGTTGTTACTACCATTTAGAAACAGTGCATCTGCAGTCTCAACTCCCAAGTTCCAAGTAGCCATTCCAAGTTACATGAAAGAGCTCTAAGATAAGGCCAAGTACTGTACCTAGATTTTAATGATTTTTTTTGGATATTAATAATACAAACCCACATTCACTCTATCCCTTCCAAAGGAATATCCCATACTCCTTCCTTCCCGCTTATGTTCCCCATCTCCATTCTGCAGTGAGGTCTCAGACCCTGCTCAAAGGAAAGTGATAGTGTTAAATAAGAATTGAATACAAGAAAGCATTCTGCCTTTTCCAGAGGTATCTGACAGTGTGTCAGATGATGGCCAGCTACAGGCAGTTTGGATGTGATTTAATCTGTAGATGAAGGCCAAGTTTGGATGATTGCTGACTCCCCTCCCTTCTTTTCTGACAGTAGGAGCCCCTTCCCCATACCAGACACACACACCATACAACCCCACAGCTCTGGAAGCTCTCCCCAGCAGCTTCTCAGCAGGGCTAAGGAGCTCTCCTTAGTAACAAACACAGGAACAGCCTCCCACCCCCAAACGGTAATATTTGTGAGTCTTTTACACTAATAACCATAAATGACACCAACCACAGGCTATGTCGTCCCCATCAGACTTGAAAGACTCGGTCACCAGCCTCTGGAGCTGGGCCAGTATGCTGCAGGCTTCCTCCATCTCCTTCCAAATGAGAAACACATCTTCTCTGACCCCAGCTCCTGGGAAGAGAAACACAACATGAGTGGCAAGCTGAGACAGGCTCAAGAACTCTCAGATAGTTCCAGCAGACCTGGTGCACCCCACCAAGTTTCTAGAACATTTCTGACACCAAACTAACTTCTTTATTCATTTCTTTCTAGAATCAGAACTGAAATCCCCAGGGAATGCTGTCACCTCTGAGAATTATGAATGCACACTTCAAGGGGCAATTAATCCATGTAGAGTATGTAGAGTAAATATCTGTAGTAGCCAGAACATTTTAGGATAGGTTACTGATAATAATGAAACAAGATAAAGAATTTAAAAGCACTACATGAAAGTCAGGTTCACCCCTATGAGGAAGAAAAATTCAATGGTATATGAAAGTATCTTTGAAACCACCTTCAAAAGTCTTTATCTTCCCCCAGTGTAATAACAATTCTTAGGCTTCCTTTTCTGAACTTCTGCTGTCTCAGTTAAGGGTTAGGTTTGTCTGTATGACATTCAAAAACATGGTATAGCTTAATATGGATATTTATTTCTTTCTCACCATAAAGAAGTAAAGGATGGAAGGAAGGGAGGGAGAGGGGAAGAAGAGGAGGGAGACAGTCCAGAGGTAAGCAGTCCAGGGCTGGGATGGAGGCTCTGCCTACATCAAGATCCATGCTCTTTCTTTTTTATTGTTCTACCAACTTAGCACATGCCTTCTATCCTCAAAGTGACCTCGTAATTCCAAATGACTTCTAGACCACCAAGCTGCATGTCCAGGTTACAGTCCAGAGGCAGAAGGGAAGCCAAAGGGGCACATAAGAAGCATGACCCTAACTGAGTCAGTCCCTCTTAAGCATCTGTCTCAGGTGTCCCAACAACTGTTTCATTACTTTAGTCAGAACTTAGTCTGACATGGTCCCATCTGGCTGCAAAGGAAACTCCACCAAAAGGCCAACAAGAAAAAACCACCAAGAAGAGCCTGAATCACCCTTGGCTGCTCTTCACAACAGTTAACAGAAATCTAAATACAACAATGCCACGATGCCTCGAAGACAACAGACCATCACAGTCCACACAAACAAGCAGGATAAAGTGGTAGAAACAAGGGAGCAGGATACAGACCCAGAACACATACCTGAGGAAGAAGCAGCACTGGAACTCTCTGATAAGGAATTCAAAAGAATTATCTTTAGGTATCTTCAAAGGATTGAGAGACAGAACAAAGAAAACACAGAAAAAACATTAGAAAAATTTTGGAAGAAAATACAAGAACAAAATGACAAATTAAATGAAAAATTAGCAATGATTCTAAATCTACAGATAGAAATCCAGAAGATTAATACTAAATTGTCAGAAATAGCACATTGGAAGGACAAAGGAGTAGAACTGATGCGATGGAAGACAGAATTAATGAGATGGAAGAAAAATACCCAAATACTTCTTTGGAAAGGGATCAATCTGAAAAAAAAAATCAAAACAAAATGAAGAAAGCCTAAGGTTCATGTGGGATACCATCAAAAGGAATAACTTACGTGTCATCAGAATTCCAGAACAGGAAGAAAAACAAAACCACTGAGAAATTTGTCCAAGATTTGCTGGAGGAGAACTTACCTGATATGATGAAAGATGAGGATATATCCATTCAGGAAGTCCAACGAACCCCAAACAGGATAGACCCCAAAAGAAAATCATCAAGACACATCATCATCAAACTCATCAAAACCAAAGACAAAGACAGAATCCTGAAAGCAGCACAGGAAAAACAAAAAGGTACCTACAAAGGACAGCCAGTAAGAGTAAGCTCTGATTTCTCAGCAAAAACCATGCAAGCGAGAAGACAATGGGATGGTATATATAAAACCCTGAAAGAGAAAAATTTTCAACCAAGAATTACATACCCAGCAAAATTGTCCCTCAAATATGATGGTGAAATTAGGAGATTTCCAGATAAGCAGAAACTAAGGGAATTTGTTAAAACCAGAACAACCTTACAAGAGATGCTAAAGGGAGTCCTTTGAACAGAGAACCAAAAATATCAAATAACAACCGACCATTAATACACAAGATGACATAACCCAGAAACCACAGCTATGGACATATCTAAAGGAAAATGAGCTTCAAAGATTGTAAACAGGGAACCAGAGACATCAATTGGTAAGTGAGGACAACTACAAACAAAAAGAGGGAAAAGACTGTGTAGTTACAGAACTTCTAAATAGTGAGGAAGTTAAGAGAGTTACAAGATAGAAAGGACTGTTCTAAACTTGGTAATAAATTTATAAATCATAGGGTAATCTCAAAGAAAAATGATAAACCTTCATATCACAATACAAGAGGACAAGCACAAATATTCAGCATATACTAAAACAACAGCAACAAAGGAAATGATAACATGCTTCATAAACATAAAGAGCTCAGCACAGAAAATAATATGGAACAAACAAACCAGGGACCATGAAAAAAACACATACCAGGGGTTCTGGCAAGATGGCAGACTAGGCAGAAAGACTGCACAGACCCTCTTCAACAAAGAAAAGGGAAACCAATTAACACAGACACAGAAGATAATCCTGGACACCTGAGCCTTGAAGGGAAGGACATAGAAGTGGACTAAACCCCAGCTAGCAGAAGAATTTGCGTGAAAATACCAAAAAAGGAGACATACGGAGCTGCAGTGTGGCAGCGATCCTGATGGCACAGACCTTGGAGATTCCCAAGTGGTGGTAGGACTTAAGAATTAACCTAAAAAAGATGGTTGAATTTTTTTTAAATGAAGGCAAGAAGTACAGGACAGAAGTAAAGAGTCATCAGCACTCTGGCCCTCTCAAACTTGGCCAGATCAAGTGCAAAATTATTAATAGCCATGTTCTTAAAGAAGCAAGTGGCAAGCCCTGACAGAGATAGATGATGTCTGTCATGGTTTTGCAGCCATCAATACCTCAAGGAGTGAAATGTGAGGTGTACCCAGCTCTTTATTGCAACTCCAAAAATAACACACACTGTTGCCAAATATGATCTTTATGTACACAGGACATTTCCATCACTGTAAAAGCAAGACTGAATTCCAGCTGCTTGCTTCAGTATGGAGGTGTTAAGTAGCAGAATTCTTCTTAAAAAGTCTCAAGTGAGTCAAGGCTTTTCATTTCTCCCAGACCTGTCAATATCTTCAGAAGGAGTATCAGGATCAAAGGAAAAATTTTCAAGGAAATACAATTGGTCTTAATTATCCAGGAAAAGTGTGTATAAGGGGCAACAATGACTGGGGGTGGATTGAGTCCTTGTGGGCCATTAATGGATAAGTGCTTGGCTATTAACCCAAAGGTTGGCAGTTCATACCCACTCAGAGGTGCCTCAGAAGAAAAGCCTGGCAATCCCCTTCCAAAAGATCACAGCCATTGACAACCCTGTAGAGCACAGTTCTACTCTGCAACATTGCGCATGAGGTCACCATGAATTGGAATCAACTCAAAGGCAGCTAGGGTGTGGAGTGACCTGAGACTGACTGCCCTATGCACATAGTAATTAGGATTATTCCTATACTGGTTTAGTAATTAGGCAGCTACAGACTGCTTCCCTGGTTGATTAGAAAGCAAAACTATTCAAAATTATATAACTGGCTTTGCTGGATGAAAAATGAAAAAGTAGCTAGTAGGGAGGGAAACCCACAGGGCTGTAAAAGCGTAACTTACAATATATAGGTTTTATTTCAAGTTATTCCATTGGCAATAAGGGAGGGAGGCCATTTTTACCAGGTTTGCTTCTATAGAACTTAGCTGGAATATCAGACAGCCACGGGAAAGGGAAAGAGAGCCAATGAAAATGGAAGAGGATGGAGAACAAAGCACGAGAAATCCCAGGCTTCAGAGACCTCTGTGAACTCTAAAATTCTCCAGGCTAAACCATAGTAGAGATGAAACAATAATGAAGCCTAATTATGTATCTTCAACAGTCAAGGTCCATCTTATACAGGCACAGAATATGGTTCTTCCTACAGACATCCAAGTGATCTAGAAAATCTACCAACCAAAATAGCTCCCTACCTGAACCAACCAGTGACATCCCCTATATACCATGTGGATAACAGTTTGAACGTTTACCTAAAAATGCTAACATCACCTGGTAGAGAAGCCACAGAAAGCTGTTATTTTTCATTAGTACCTGGTATTAGACCTAGGAAGGAGCCCTGGTGGTGCAGTGGTTAAGCGCTCAGCTGCTAACCAAAAGGTCAGGAGTTTGAATCCACCAGCTACGCTGCCAGAGAAACACATGGTGGTTGACTTCCATAAAGATTACAGCCTTGGAAACACTATGGGGCAGTTTTCTTCTCTCCTAAAGGGTATGCTACAAATTGGAATAGCTTGATGGCACACTACAGCAACAACTGATTTCTCAGAGCAGCTAGTTTTACAAATGAAATGAGACCCATGACAGATAACTTTTGATGAGGCAAGGGTAAGAGTACACTGAGTATCTGCTGCTAAACACCACCTTACCTATAGGACAAAGTCTAGTTGTCACAATCAATTCGTTAACATATTCATGGTAACATTTTTTTACTCCAAATGATTTTGAGTTTTGTTCCACATTGTTCTCCCTCCCTATCCAGGATCTCCTACATAGATCCCCTTCCAAGTGAATGACAGTGATAGCAGGGCACCATCTAGTTCTTCTGGTCTCATAGTTTTGAGAACCTGCTATGCAGAGGGTGGGCACTATCCCAGGTGCTGGGATACAACAGTGAACAGGGCCCTGCTCTCCTGAGCTGGCATTCAAGGCCCTCCATAATACCCATAAACATTCTCTGCCACAAGGCAATCAGTCTGGTCATTGTTCTACCAGCTCTGCAGGGCCCCTATACTCACGCTGTCCTCCTCTGAGGACTCATAACTCTCCACTGCACTCACCTAGCCCCACTCTTCATTCAAGGCACAGTTCTGACTCCACCATCAAGCTTTGTCCAGCCACCCAGGAAACAGTGATATGCTTCCTACTCCTCCTCTCAATTCCAACGGAATGAACTATTCACAGC